CGCTGATGCCAAGCAGCGTGCCCCTTGCTGATTTGGGGATTTTGATGACGATTTGCAGCATGTCATCGCCCTTGCCAGCGGAAGGGTGGTGGTTGCGCCGAAAGCCGTAAAGCGTCACTTGGTCCTTGATCGAGGGGACGTGCTTGATGATGTAGTCCTTAAAGAAGGATACAGGACTCGCAGCCGCAGTGTCAAATTCCGTTTTGGAGGTAAGTCGACTGTCAAGTTCGATGACCAACTCGGCAATTTCCGAAGTGGAAAATTCGCACGCAGGCTCTTTCAGGGTGAAGGCAAAGCGACCTGAGATCGGGACCGCGTGCATGACGCGTTTGAACGTCTGGTGCACGGCCTTGTCATGTAATATGACTTCGAACGGTCCGGCAACGGAGCTGCCCAGTGCGCTCTTGGAGGCGTCATCGAGCTGGGGGAGGAGAGCAACCAGCGTCTGCTTGGTGCCAAGTTTGGCCAGGTCTGGAAGGTGCTGTTTTGTTGTGAGGATGACACCACTGTCATGCCCGGTGACCTGCAACCGGTGGAGCTGGGGGAGGATAGCACCCTTCTCGTCGTGGAAGGGGTGTGCCTTTTCGAGGACGAGGTCCTCCCAGCGGGAGGGGCTGCTCTTGCGTGCCCAGGGGTCGTTGATCGACAGGGGATCAACCACAGCTCCTGTGTTGGCTTTTGCCTTGCTCTCGACGGCACCTGCAGCTGCATACTGTGAAGGAAATCTGCCTTCATCGATGCGCAAGAGGTGTTGGATCAAGCCTGTGGCGGCGAAAGAACGGAGCTCTTGTGGGATAGTGAGGCCCCACTGCAGAGCGGCATGCTGCTGAATCCAAATGTACCAGGGTGCCTGATTGCTGTTCCTCAAGGTGTTCAACTGGGAGGGGCTCGGAGCTTGCATGATGGTGCCAAAGCGTCGATAGATTGCGAACAACAGCGTCCACCCACAGACATGAGTGGGAGGATTGTGCGAAACAAAGTGGGTCCGCAACACTGTGTCAGCCGGAATCAAATTGGCAGCAAGGTCATTGGCGAGGCTCTGAGCATGAGATCTGAGAACTTCCGGTGCATAGACAACAATGCTGTGTTCCCAACTCTCCTGGTGAATCTCGCATTGGAGCCAATGACTGTCCCAGTTGAGAAAGAGCAGCACAGACGTGAACCCTGAGATGTCACACTTGTAGTCATTGTAGAAGCTGATCGTGTGGTGGAGCCGATTCCATTGAGCTGGTGGTGCAAAAAGGACATGCGGAGCCCGGTCACGAAGTCTGTCGAGGAGGTAGTCGAGCGTGTCCGAAAACAACCAGCCAGGATTGTCGGCACAGGCTTGCAAGCGAGACAAAATGCGATCACCGGCCTCTGTTTGAGTGGCATCATCATGATGATTCCTCTGGCCATCTGGGAGCGGAGCAGGGAGAGGAAGAACTGGTTGGCTAGGTGATGAACCAGTGTCGGCCAAGACAGGGCCGAAGGTGACCTGAATCGGATGCGTAGTGACAGCATCAGTATTCCTGGCCTGAAGGGCAAGTCCAATGAAGAACTGGAGGCGCATGTTGTACGCAAAACCACGCAAAGCAGCATCCTGACACACAGCAAGCCAGTGATTCTGAGAGGCAGCCTGGACCTGGTTGATAATGCTCTGCTCATTGGGAGTCAAAATGGACCACAAATAGCTCTGATCTGGCAAGTAATCCAGGGCTTCCGCTCTGGCAAAAAGGCGAAAGAGGATAGTCCAACCACACATATGTGGAGTAGCCTGCACAAAATCAAAGTCCAGACAGGCTCGATGGGGCGCGACATCGAGGAGGCGGCATGTGATCATGGCAACCCTCTGCGCTGCATGCTGGGACAACCCACTCACGGCAATGCGTACCCGATCAAGACGGCGAGTGACTTCGACAAGTGCCCAATGCGCTCCCACCAGCAAAATGAGACAGGACAGCCCGTTGGGGGCAAAATGCATCTCTCCAAAGGGTCCTTCTTCAAACTCGACGAGCCCGGGCCGCCACATCTGAATGCCGAAGGAGTGAAGAAACTCTGGGGCAATTTGCTGAAGAAGGCCAAGACAAGCCAGTAGTTCGTCCGAAGCAGCCCATCCGTGAGTTCTGGCAGAGAATTGGGCACGTGGGCTGAGGGAAGCACCCGCAGGGAGCGGTTCCACATGATCGTCACGGTGATGCCCACCTGCATGCACTGGTGGTTCAATCTTGGAAACTGTCAAGATGTCACCAGTATGGCAGTAGACCTGGTTTTCAACAATCGGGTGGTAGTTGTGCATCAAGAGCTTATGTGGCCCCGCAGGTAGCACACATACTGTGGCCGCAGGGAGCGACCGAGGCACAGTCTTGACATGGACACCAACCGCATCAGCATTGCTAGTGATGAGGACAAGTGCATCAGAGGAGCGGTCAAACTCCCTGACAAGGATGAGAGGTCCATTGGCAACACGAGGCAGCTTGACCGGGCTGATGTAAACCTGGTACTTCCTTGGGTAGAGCTGATCAAGCAGAGTCTGCAAGCACCCACTTGGATCATCGCGGACAGTTTGAATGTTGAAGACCATAGCAGGTGTTTCCCAAGCAAGTGCAGCGGAAGTGAGCACTTCTTCACTTGCCCTCATTTGCTTGTGGTGTTGTTCAACAAGGGTGAGGGCCTCAAGGAAAGTTGGGACTTGTCGTAGCTGCTCAAAGGTCATAGATCCACACACGATGTCGGCTGGTGGCTCCTCTTCACATGCCGTGAAGGGAATGGTCGCAGAGACAACATCATCACCCGGCGGGATGACCTCAGGGAAGAGCCGTCCTCCAATGGAAAGCTCTGCATAGATGCGATCACGCCATTTGCAAACGATGGTCGAATGCTGTCGCAGGACTTGGGAAATCATGCCATGGCCTGGGATGTCACCAGCGGTGGAAGCGAAAGTGATTTCACGTTCATCAACCTCCCCAAAGGACAGGATCTGGCGGACTGTGTCATGCAGAGTAGCGTCTGAGAGGACACTAGTATCCCTGGCAGCAGAACCGATCGTTTGGGAAAGTCGAACACACATATAAGCTTTCTCAGGCTGAGGCAGCAAAAAGAACCGGAAGTCCAGGTTCCTCAGGAACTCATCAAACTTCTGCACTGTGATCCAATCACCCTGTTTGTGAACAATGGCATTGACTGATGTCATGCGATCATTCCAGGAATCACGAATGAGTTGACTCAAGGTGACTGGAGTCTGCTTGATAGCAATGAACCCGATGGACAAGGCCAAGAGTGCGTGCGGTTGTGCAATCGCATTGCCGAGGAAGTGGAAGGCTTGCGGGACCGAACACGGCAAGACAATGCGGTCGGTGGTACCTAGCAACGGCACGAATGTCAAAGGACTCAGAAATTCGAAATCCGGCCCACTCTTGATGAGGCATGCGAAAATTCCCTTGTCGGTCAGGTGGTCGACAGCTAAGTGGTGCTGCGTTGTGTACGAGCTGCATAAGGTAGGCAGTGGCTCTCCTGGCGGTGGGATGCGTTTCGAGAGAACCTCATTGCATGTGCCAGACTGGAGTCGGGCTCTCTTTGCAGGTGGTAACAGTTGAGGGTCACCATACTTGGACAGGGCATGTTGATCAAGGACGAGCTGCTCACGAATGCAATCAGGTACCCAAAACTGGTTTAGGGCCGAATTCCACCAAGTCAAGGGTGGTGCACGTGGGATGACCGTGGCATGGATGGGGTCACATGCGAAGTCCTTGCGCCTCCAGACGGCAAGCCAGCGTGATCTGGAGTTATGCGTGAGGTTATTAAGAGGGACCACTTGTTGCCACACTTGCTCGAACCCAATGATTTGGAGGGCTGCTTTAAACAATTGGAAATGGTCATGAGACATCACCTCATCTGCACACTCGAAGAAGATCAGCAACGGTTGTTGCGCTTCAAGTGTCTGTACAGCATCGAACGCAGCAAAACCTGACGTGCAGTTCAATCCTTCTCGTTTTCCTCCTCTGGACCAGGACACGCACGGTGGGGACACTGTGGAGATGGCGTTGGACGGCCAAAGGCAGCGTCGCAACAAGGTCTTGTCACTGACCTGGGTGCAAATACCAATGTGTTCCGTGGGGTCCCAACCTGAGAACGGAGATGTAGTCCCTACGTAGTGTTCATAGCCATGCTGCTTGGACCAGGTCTCCAGCACCATGGCGTCGGCATCAACACTCACTTGGGAGCCACACGTGACTCCATCAACATGATCATGTAGCCAGCCAAGGGCACGAGCCCATCCACAAAAGGCACCGGCAAAGAGGTGCAATGCATTGAATGGGAGTTCGCGATCAAAGCATGGCCTGTGCAGAAGAATTGCTTCCTCATCAAAGGACAGCTGATCACCATGATCCACAACCTTGCCAAGGATGATAATTTCCGAACCCACTCGAAGCTTGATCGGCCTTCGTCCCAGCTTGGCGATGGTCACCTTGACCTTATCCACACTGTCAACCGATGTCACGAAGCCTTCCCACGGGACAAAAGGCTTCCGCTGCAGCTGGATGGTGTCGGAGCACATTGACACGATGTAGCCAACCATGCACACCGCGCCCTCGATCACCGGACCGGGGCAGCGACTCCGGTGTGCATGGAGGAACTCTCTCAATGCAGCCAGGCGATGCTGAGTGAGCATCTTGTCGGCCATCTGCAAGACATCCAGCCACGGATCCATGGCGCGTGTCCAACAAGGTCAAAGGCCAACTCACAACCACACGCGAGATGGCCACGGCCTTGATGGACGTCCTGCCCCCTCAAATGAATGAGGGCTACAGGACCCCGGGGTCTCGGCACTCCCTCAGGCTTAAGGCCTTGAGCCCAGCAGCCTAATTGTAAAAGGTCTTCATTTGGAGGTTCTGTTCATCAACAGTCTTCAATTTGTCGTGTTTCAAGTTTCAGGTTCCTGTCGACGGGCTGCTGGGCCACTTCTGGACGCCCCCCATCGCCGCTGTGGCTCGTGTCCCCCCCGTGCCGAGTCCCCGCTCCGTGTGGCAGGGCACCGACACCTCTATCGCCCGAGCGGTGCGATACACATTGGCTGCGCAGGGCCACTGGAAGGTGGCCAAGGCGCTCAAGCAAAGCTCAGCGAGGCCCGGCAAATAGAGCCCTGGCCAGGGGAGGCCATGGCAACAAGATTGCAGCAAATAGATAGAACCCTACATTTAAGATGCATCAAGATGTGTTCTACGGGTTTCCTGTAGGTCAAGATTCCAGTCCCATGGATTGGTGTCCCACCATTACCAGAGCCAGTGGACGATGAGGCAACCAGGTTGCAGGCCTTTCCCAAATATATCCCTACAAGTCCAGTCGGACCCAGTCAAACCTGGCCTTTTACATCCTTAAGTAGTGCTTGTATATATTGACCACCTCCAGTCAAATGAGGTCAAGAATCCCTGTAGGGTATTGACCTGTGACTGGGAGACTAGGACCCTCCCTTGGCTGAAACACTGCCGAGGGGAACACTTGAGCTGAGCTGTGAAGAACAAAGGCCTGTGTTTGTCGCGATATACTTTAAATGCTCTTGGAGGCTGGTTATTATGTCCAAAGGTGTGCCAACGAAACCAAGAACTCATTTATCTGATTCTTGCTTAGCCCTATCGTTTCTTTTTAGGCAACTGATAATGTTTTTTTTTTAATGGCACTTTGGCAAAGGCAAACACATGATATTGCCAAGGTCATCGGCGGGGGCGCCCCGTGTTGGTCATGACCGCCAGTTTTGATCACTCCAAACAGTTCGGCACTGACCGCCTGCGTTGTTGGCATAGACCGTGTTGCTCACATCCCTCGTCCGGCCTGGCAAGCGCGACGACACGAGTGTCGCACCGGCGCTTCAGCGTCCCCTCAACCGCGTCGCGATGCAGGGTGGTTGATAGGACCCCCAGAAGATGATCTAATAACTACCCAGTTCCTGGGTGGTGCTGGTGTATCCTATGTCGTATATTCACCTAGATCCGGGTGGTTGAAAAGGCGTCCGTCCGGGGCGGCGCAGTTGGAGTGGCTAAGCAGTTCTGGCTTCCTTGGGATTCGCAGTCGGCAGCGTCCCCTGGACAGGTAGACATAGAGATGCACATCCATGATTAGCTACATGGATCTTCAATGAAGCACTCACAGCGAGTTAAATAAAACTCATGGTCCTCTGTGCCTACTCAAGGTATATACCCAATGCAACCACTGGTTGAAGAGTTGTTTCGTGGTCTTCAGGTCATCTCAGGAAGTGGTTCATGCCCAGATCAGCCATAAATGGAATCAACATTGCATACATTCACCCCATGTATGACTCTTGCTTGCAACTAATTATGTATTCAGTATACATATAATGTACACCTCCCTGGTGCCATGCGGGCAGCCCAAGCCTGCACCAAGAACCTGTAGTGTTGATGAATAAAAACTTGCCAGGCCTGGAACGTAACAGTAAACCATTCTGCTAGGGCTACGCGGGGTGAACTGATGTTGAATTCATCAACCGAAGGTTGAATATGTGGAACTGACCCCGGAAGGTTGGGCCCCAACGGTTAGCCGTCGAATTCGGTTTGGTCATTCCAGGGAGGTCGTCGCATACGCGCTGCGACCGGAGCCCGGTGAGCGTTGGATGGAGTGTGGGAGCTGCTCAAACACGGACCGAAGAAACCCTGTTGGCGTGTTCTCTTGGCAACTGTGAGTCGGGAAGAAACTCCTCACAAACTCATGTTGGATTGGCTTTCAGGATCTTTCAGGAACTTGGAAAGAACAAGCCATCTTTCGAATTATATAGATCCTCTAAAAACGAATTCACTAGGTCTAGGAAAACACTCCAAATATCAGCCACACCCGGGCCGCCGTCGCTGCTTTTGGAGCGCGGTTGCTACTTTCGTCCCACACCGAGACGTGGCGGCGTGACCGTCGTGGCCGTCGTGTGGTGCACGGAACACGCGCTTTACGTGATGGAGCGCGACTCCCGTGGTTTTCTTGGAGAATAGAGGTGATGATGTTTTGCAGAACAAAGAACTATAGGCACCTCCTTTGACCAAACCCAAACCGCCTGAACTGAAGTTCCGCGGAAAAAAACCTGCATATCATGATTCCTTCACCTTCATATCATAAGTGGAGAGACCGTAACTGATCGGGCGATGCCACCTTTTCCTGGGGATCGGGTGACGTTCTGTCGTCTCTTGCGTTCTGTTTTTTCACGTCGGTCTGCGAGTGTCTGGATCAACGGTCGGTTCTTTCGGTTCTTTGGCGGATAGCGCCAAGGCTTGGTGTATGCATGCGATACATGTATCCACTGTAGACTATATATATATATAGTGATAGTTCCTTGTTTTAAAGTGGCACCATTTGTATTGCAAGAATCTCTTTAGACTGGAGTCTGTGAATGCCTCATGTTCAGTTTGTCAATGGTCGTGTCGGTACAACTGGGGTGCACCTTGTAGTGCACAAGACCTTCACAACTCATCCGAATCTGCTCGAAACAAAGAGAGTCTGATCCAGGCCTTGTGCTTGACTTACATGCTATTAAATGTTGTCTGCCTCCAACTTAAGACAGGAGCAGCTAATTTGGACGCGCTCCATGATCCTGGCAAAGCAGCAAATAAGTAATAATGTAAAGAGATTCGAAGAGATTATGGCCCAAATGATCGGCTTGTGGGCTTCAACCCTGTAGGTCATCTCATCTCATATTCCAGTACCCGGTACCATGATACATAATCCTATATATCTGCAATCTGCGCGGAGTTCACCCCCCACACTTACGTGAGCGACCGGCAAAACTAGGGGTCGTTTGGTGGTACGTTTAGAGCATGGTATCGTTTTTGGGATTGGTATCGTTTTTTCAATTCATATGCATTTTTTGGGGGGGGAGGTATCGTCTAAATGTAATTTGCTCTGGAAGGTGATCTTGCACATGATGACAGCAGCAGCAGCAGCAGGAGGAGTAGTAGTAGTAGTAGTAGTCGTAGTAGTAGTAATAGTAGTAGTAGTTGTTGTTGTTGTCGTCGTCGTAATAGTAGTAGGAGTAGCAGTAGCATTAGCAGTAGCAGTAGAAGTAGTAGTCGTCGTAGTGGTAGTAGTAGTAGTAGTAAAAGTAGAAGTAGTAGTAGTGGTGGTAGTAGTAGTAGTAGGAGTTTAGTAGTAGTAGTAGGAGTAGCAGTAGTATAGTAGTGGTAGTGGTAGTAGTGGTAGTAGTAGTATAGTAGTAGTAAATAGTAGTAGTAGTAGTAGTAGTCGTAGTCGTAGTAGTAGTAGTAGTCGTCGTCGTAGTAGTAGTCGTCGTAGCAGTAGTAGTAGTCGTCGTCGTCATAGTAGTAGTAGTAGTAGTAGTAGCAGTAGTAGTGGCATGTGAGTGGGCAGGTGGTGTCTGAGGGGATGCAGACCTATGAAGTGGGTGTCGTTTGGTATCGTTTTTGGTATCGGTCTGAACCCATAATTGTTTCCCATCGAAGAAAAAGAAGGGAAAATTAGCAAAAATGAAATGGAATGTCCAGCTAGCATGGCAAACCATATGCAAAAAAACCTTGGACATACACTGTCTGGAGTGTCAACATTGTCTCCAGGCAAAGATAGATTCCAAGATGTGTACCGTCACAAGGCTAGGTATCGTTTTTGGGATTGGTATCGTTTTTTCAAGGAAAATGCAACTTGCTCATTTTTGAAGAAACGTGAGTGCCGACCTTTAGCTCTTTGCTCACGTGCTACAGTCGTCGCCGGTCGACGGCGCCGGTCGACAAACCCTCAGGTGTTGGTCTTGTTCACGTGCCAATCCTGGGCGTTGGGGGTCATGGCACTGGGGCATTCGACCGAATCGATTCCATCGAGGTCGGCCAGGTCCGGAGGTCGGACCTCGTCCGGGAGACCGGAACGAGATGTGTCCATTCACCGTCCCAAAGTGGGCCTTGGTATAGATCCACATATGTCCGACGCCAGGGATGGACGCTTCAAACATCTTCAAACATAGTGAGGGGCGGATGGCGGATCCCCGGCCCATCTTTGCGTGATCGAAGGCATGATTTGGTGCTAACGATAGACGTTGGACAATCTTTGCTTCGGCTTCGCCACTGCATGGAAACGATTGTTTCTTCGAAGCTCCTTGAAGCGGAAGCTGACCACTTGCATTGGAGCATCTATGACAAAGGACATGTGATCTGAGGTGGACATGTGATCCAAGGGTTGGTTGAGAAAGAGTGTTGACGTTGCCTAAATAGGATCAGGTACGAGTATCATAATTGCATTTGACTAAATCTGAGGTCTTTCCAGGATTCACCAAGCGTCAGTGACCAGTGGAGAGTTGCTCCAGTGTATACTACTCAATCGTGGTGATCACATACGGGTACATTGGCAGAGGGACCCGTGGAGCTACTTCCAAGTGGCTAAAAAGGCCTCCCATTCATCCGGCTTCCAGTCGCTGCTCACAATGCCCGCCTGCGATGGTCGGTTTGCTCCCATGGGCCCCTAGACCTCACTTGTGACCCTGATATACACATATACATTATATATATATATATTATTAATAACTGTTCCAGGCACGGATGGTCAGATGGTCTGGGTTCCCTTACCCAGGTATCTGTCGGTGTTGTGTCCACTCTGCTAGCTGCGACCCGCGCCCAGGTCGACCCGCGCCCAGGGGCCACCGGGTCGGATCGTGTCAGGCAAAAGAACATGGTTTCGGAAAGTGAACCACAGAACATGCAAACCCAAAATTGTCTGAACTTGCATGTCTATAACTTGGGTCTATCCTATCACCAGGGGCCCAGGGGGACCAGGGGGCACCTGATGATGGAGAAAGAACATGAAAGAACAGCAGGCCTTGGTTCAGTGATGTTCTTGTTTGCCGACTCTTTCGGGTAATATAACAAACCCAATCAAACATATCTACCCTTGATTCATTCTGCTCCCATGTCTTAAAACGAAGGTGGCCAATGTAGCCATGTCTGAGCCTCCAAATTGTTTGGTGCAAACACATTCAATACGCCTCGCTCCGAGAAAAAGCAGAGACTCGATGGTTGGCACAAAGAACACATCAGTGACCAAACTGTGTGAATCGATGAGATTCCCATAGTGTCCCCTTCGCTACTAGGGGCTCCTGGCCTTACTAGGAGCCAGGACGCTACTAGGGGCTCCTGGCCTTACTACTGGAGCAAGGACGCTACTAGGGGCTCCTGGCCTTACTACTAGGAGCAAGGACGCTACTAGGGGCTCCTGGCCATACTACTAGGAGCAAGGACGCCACTAGAGGCTCCTGGCCTTACTACTAGGAGCAAGGACGCTACTAGGGGCTCCTGACCTTACTACTGGGAGGAGCAAGGCACGCACACACAAGCAATCACGAACAAAAACAGCACATCACCGGCCAAAAGGTTTTTTCTCCCCACATCGAATTCGACTTCGCCAAATATGAAACCAAACAGCAAACGACCTGACCATACCTAGAAGCACCTGGGGCAGAAATTTCTGCCTCAGTCCGATTTGCCCGGGAGGATTCGCGGATTTAGGGGAAATCCGCGCCAGGTAGGAATTTCCGCGGGCAGCAGGGAATTTTTGCCTCAAGCAAAATCCAACATAGCAACTCAAAAACCATTACAACCTACCAGGTTGTCTCTTCCATGATTGCAGACCACATATCGTTCTGCATAGCTTCACATCTCAAGATCTGACACCCTACGATTTTGACACTTCTAAATTCATGACATTCACAAAGAGGCTGCGACATATGTTCAAGCCCTTCAAAGGCATCAAAGGCACTGTTCTTGAATCCCGCCTTCTACCAGGAAATTTCCGCCGGTTTCCCGGGTATTTCCGCCGTTTTCCCGGGTATTTCCGCC